TACCACTGTCTTGTCTTGACTACATGGTGAATAGGATAGTTCTAGAATACATGTTAATTATCAAAGGAAAATTACATTTTGAAAGTACGTTTACTTTAAAATTAGATTCTACACAGCTGCTTCTAAGTGTTTAAAAATACTTTATTGTCTACCTTATAGTTGAACATGCCATATATAAAATGTTTTAGCATATTTTAATGTTTTACAAACACACATGTGTAAAGTATCATGTAAATTCAAGTGCAGTTAAAGTAGCAGAAATACGAGTGAAATTCTATAAAAGAAGGGGTTTTTGTTTGGTAACAAAAATGTTGAATTTCAAATGTGCTGAAGAATTATTTAAGAACTGTGCTTTAAATATATGGTGTATAGTTTACATTCAGATCTTTTGCCATATTAAAAAGTCAGTTTGATATATAGGTTTTTAATTTATTCATAGTCTGATCCAGCAACTCTGCTACACCAGCCTGCTATATTCTTTAATTCCAAATAAAAAATACATACTTCTATTTGTTAGGAAACATACCTTTATTGTTTCTTGAAATGGTCCAAATGAGTAAATGTTTAGTGTTTTTTTGTTGTGCTTTTGGACTTCTTTTCTAATTAAGCCCATGTCCTTTAAAAATTAAGAGACTGGAAAATTTCAGTGTGGAAGGGAGGTCCACCATGCAATCTGCTGCTGCAAGCCAGGCGGGCATCAGAGCTCGAGCAGCTTGTTCAGGGTCTTGCCCAGGCGAGTTGTGAAAATCCCAGTGGACAGATTCTAGGTTTCCCTGGCAAGCTGCTCAAGCACCCTTACTGCAAAGGATTTTTTCCTTACAAGTTAGCTTCAACTTGTTACTCCTGCATCTTGGTTCCTCTTTCTTCTTTCTAACCCTCACTGTATGTAGTGGAGAACTGCTCTTAGATCCTACCTGACAGAAAATCTGCCACTGCTTGACTATCAAGGAGGGAAGGGAGGTTGGAGTTGCCTTTCTGGGGTGTGGCACGAGAGGGCAAGCACCACATATAGACTGAGCTGAAGTTGTGCTGGCAGGCTGGGCCGTGCAGCTGTGCCCTAGTTCAAGAGATTGATACGGCTGTTCCGCTCGGTAAGAGTCCAAGAAACCAGGGCACTCCATCCGCCAAATACAAAAGATATAATTTTGAGCATATTTTTTTGTTGATAGAGCCAAAATATAAACAAACATCGGAGTGGGATTTTGGAAACCCCAGCTTTGATGATGTACTGGCTGCCCTGATTCCTCAGCCAGGTGGCATCACAATATCATTTAAATTAAGGAGAAAATAGAATTCTTTCAGGAATATTTTGCAAATACTGCTTTTCAGACTCACTTCTCTTGTTCTAAAATAGACTAGGCAGTTTATCACCAATGAGTTTTTAATGATAAATACTAATTCATATTATGATTCATCATATTTCAGAGTGTCTCATATTTTAATTCTGATGTGGATAAGAAAATTAATTTAAGCACTTGGCATGGATACCTTATTTACACATGCAATCTAGTAGTTCCTGCTTTATCTGTTGGTGAAAAAGTAAGAATAATAATTAAAAATAAATCAGTAGGCTCCAGTCACCTGTAGTAATCTTTGCTCTTTTTAACTGTAAAATGCTGAATTGAGCAGTTTTAGACAAACTTGTTACGTGGTCCTGTAAATATTAAGTAGTTTCTGTCTGTACGTTTCTTCAAATCTGAAGATTGTTTGTTCGGCGGTTTGTGTTTGTTTGTTTGTGGAAGTTTTCTTGTTTCCAAAAAATGTGCCATACTCAAACAGCCATAAATGCAGCATGATTTTCTTTAGCAGCTATAGAAAATAAAATTTTCTTATTTAAAAAAAAATCAAATTTTCTTTAGTAAGGTTTTTGCCAAGTTTTACTTTATTTTTAACAAGATATAAGTTTTGTTTCTATCTGAGCAACTTTTAAAGCTCTGTAATAGATCACAGGAGAATAAGCCTTATTTTTAGACAATCACACAAGTAGTATGTTTTTGGCCAGTTACTTCATGTGGATTTATAACACATATTCTCTAGTCAATATCAGTCTTATAGTTCGATCTTTTGCCTTGGTGACAGTGGAAAAATGCCCAGTCAAACAGAAATGCACTTGGACAGTCAATGGATTACTCTGTCATTTATATATTCAATTCTGATGAAAATTAGTAATAAATTTGAAATTGATGATAGAAGTATTAAACTAGTCCTATTTCAGATTTAAGCTGCATGTGAAATTTCATATGATGTGGATATTGAAGCTATAGTCTTTGCACATTCAGTGAAGAGCATAAGGTTAAATGCTTCTGGTTTTCCAGCTGTAAGCCTGAAGCACCCGATTTCTCCTGCTGTTGTGTTGTGTCTCCTAGGAGAAAAATCATGTGTTTTATGTGTTTTTCCATGCGTCCTTTTCAAACAAACCTTTATAATTGTGAACTTATTCTAGAAAACACGGTTTGTTCAGTAAGATAATGTACCTTCACTGCTTTGGAGAAGAAAATGTAACAAAATTAATATGAGTGACTGTTATTTTAGTTGGTTTTTAGTCATTGAGCAGTCAAGATGATTGAAAAATCAACTGCTATGTAGATGGTTTTAAGAAAATAAACTGTATTTTTGTAATAATTCTTTTATATGCATATCCAGTGTGATTGCCTTACTGTCAAAACTGAATTTATGAACAGAATTCATTCATCTACAAGAATTATCTGTGTTGCACAAATGTGTAGCAACATTTACTGGTTTGAAAAACATGTACAGTTGCCAAAGAAACAATCAGTGTAGTGAACCAAATGTGTAAGTAACATAGATTCTTGCATTCTAATCTCATTCTCAAGCAGTTCAACTTTCCTTCCATAGCTGTTGAGTAGCTTAGTAGTACCTTCTGTGCAGGCAGGTGAGGGCTGTGTCACCAGTGAGATGATGTTCTACAAAGTACAAGGGCTGAGGTCTGGTAGAAGGCTCAGGGTTCTCCAGTGGCTGGAGGATTGGTTTGGACCAATTTAATTTGACTAGTAGCCCAAAGGAAAACCAAAGCACTGCTCCAGCAATATGAATCATTTGTGGCAGTTTGCACCAAAAGTCTGACCCAGAGAAATCTTGGTACTGCAAACAGGATAAGAGGCAATTTCACAAAGCTCGCTGAATTAACGGCTGTGTTGTAGAGCTGCTTGAAAGTTACTTATGTAAAAGGAGAAAAGAACTTTCACAGAGGTAGGCATTTATCATCCCTCCACGCAACTTTCCTGCTTTGCACGGCTAATTTATTAATTACAGTTATCAGTGTAATTGTCGAATAAGTACATAGAAATAAAAGAAAAAAGAGTGGGATTTTGACAGTTATACAGTACTTTATTAAAAATATGTTCTCTCAAGTGTAATATAGACATTCCCATGCTAACTATTGTATTTCTACTTATTATTCATAATTAAATATAGGGTAATGCTCAACTTCTATCCTTTCTCTTTTCATATTACAAGAACCAGTATAGCAAGACCAAAACTCAAAATAATTTTCTCAGAAACACAAAAAAATCATTTGATCTTAATATCTGCTCCTCACTGTTTCCTAAAATCCCTGAATCCTTGCTAAGGGCTCCTGCAGCTGTCCTCTCTGAAAGCAGGTGCAGAGGAGGGAGAAGGGGGAACAAGGAAAATAAGACTCTTATGAAGAATAATTTCCCTGGGTACTTGTACATGATACTGTAGGATTCTGATTTATAGCAAGATAATGGCTGTGGTTTTAATTGCATTCCTGTTTACTTATTTCTGATCTTTAGAATAAACCTTACCAAACATATTCATGCATAAATATACATATACCTCACAAATATATATGCATGTATACAAATGTGCACAAATTGTCTGTGTTTTTCTGCAAAAATAGAGCACATAGAAGATACAAGCATGCTTAACAACTGCACTTACTCCTAAGATTGCCTTATACCTCCCATCATAAAAATCCGCATTCATTTTGTTTTGACTCACCCAAAACTTCCCTTTTGCTGCTTTGCCACAGATTATCAAAATGATTAAGAGCATGAGACGGGTTCTCCAGGTGATCTGTTCTCTGGGAAGTTTAAAACATGGACTTCAAATTTATTCTAGGATGGCTTTTGCATCACACTTGAGGGTTTGTGACCTTTTGGGTCACCCTTTTTTTAAAGAGAACTAACTTCCTGAGTTTGGTCAAGTTATGAGCCTTATAAAAATTGTCATTTGCATGAACTCAGGAGAGAATTTGTGGTAGCTGATATTCCAAAGAGGCCTCTCAGGGCTGGCAGGTTTCAGCACATCGTGAGTATTTGAAGCTTTGTGCTGCTCTGGATCATGGTGGATTCTGGTGTATGTTCATCAGAACTGAACACACAGGCACTGTCCCAGTGAGCTCCTTGTTACCTCTGTTTTTGGGCTTCGGCTGCTTGGAAGTGAATTGTGCCTAAACCTAATACAAGAGAGGGGAAAAACTGACCCACAGGAAAATATTTTGGGACAAGAAACCGGCAAAGAGTGGGAAACCATGGCTAAGAATTGAAGTGGGAGTTGACTGCAACTGACTGAAACAATAATTTATTTCATAATTTTTCATGTATAAATAGAGAAGTAGCTTACCTTTGCATCACTGTGAGGAAGTCCCAGACTTAGCAAGCATCCATAATTTTGAAAATGTATCCAATTGTATGACTCCATGCCCTGGACTATAACAACAATAATTTGGATAGGCAACAAAACGGATTATTTTTCTAAAAAAAAATTATCTAGCAAATAACCATAGTTCAGCTACAATTAATAGCAGGTTTCTGAACTGAAGGGTCAAATAGCAAGTATCTCTGAAAAAGTTACAGGAAAATCACCCTAATGGGAACTCAGGTTTGTTTGGGATACAGAGGTACTACATGAGTTATTGCTTATAAATAATCATTGTATAAGTAATATATTTCTATTACACTACTTGCTGCTTGAAAAAATATATTTATTTCTTTTTTTTTTCTCTCTTCATCTAGGAGTTATTGATATTTTTACAAAATTTGCCCACGGGACGATGGGGAAATGAAGACATCAGTGTACTCCTAGCAGAGGCCTACAGACTGAAGTTTGCATTTGCAGATGCCCCCAATCATTACAAGAAATGACTATAAAGAGAGAGAAATCATTAAATCCATCATGTTCTGCAATATTAAGGCATCTGTTGTTCTGGTTGTGCTTTCAGCTCATTGCTCTTTCGTTTGAAGTAAGATGACCATTAAAATTCTGTTAGAATTTGCAGAATGAGAACAGAATACCAAAGAAATGGACAAAGCAGGATATCAAGCACTGAATGAACTTAAAAGTGAATTTTTTTGCTCAGAAAAATAAGTTCAGAAGTCTTATCACATAATTTTCTTCTTTTTTCCTCTTCTCTAAATAGGAGAATTGCGGTCTGTCTATCTAATTTATGTTGAGCAATTTTTCTGGGTACCTAAGATGATTTTGTCATTACTTTAGTGTCACCTGCCATGATTTTATCAGCCAGTTTTGGTCAGTAAAAATTATTTAGTTTGAGTAGAACAAAAGAACTTTTCGTGGTCATAAAGACCATAAGAGACAGCAAGGCCTGTGTTTTGAGATCTACTATAACTCAGAAGACAGTGATATTAACACATCATCTGTTGTTTTTCAATGGAATCAGGTTATAATACTTCGATAATATAAGAATATAAGAATATAGAAGCATGCAATGGAAATTGGTGGAATATTTCTAAAAATTTCTCAGTCTTGAAGGATGAAGCTTTTTAGGCATACAAAGGAGTTACTTAAAGCTGAAGTTTCATCTATTACAATAAAATAAATCCCTCTCAGTATGTATTGGAGTGTTATAAAATTCTGAATTAAATAGAAGGCATGGTCTTGTCAAAGTAATTAACGTTTTTCTTTCAATGCCTTTCAATTTTTCAGCATAAAAGTTCGCTTTTAAGAAATGTATTAAGGAGCTTGGTTTACAAAGCAAGACGTATTTTTATCTCAGTTGTTGCCTTATTCTCCGTTTCTAACACGTTAGAAAAGGAAAATTATTATATCTTTCCAAAGCTTATTTGTTAAATAATTTAATACCTTTTTTCCCCGAATATTCGGAGGAAGTGAGAAGCTAGTTCCCAATAACATTAACAGTAACTATATACTCAGATCATTAGCAGAACAAAAATCCTCTATGAGTTTATAGATTAAAATTAATGTTTCTTCATATAACCATGGGATACTGAATAATTTCTTAGAACTTACATAATTTAAGTGCACTATTTTTTTTTTTCAAGAAGTATTTTCTGATAAGAATTCTGATTTTGCTCTGTTGGATGTAAATAACTCATATTAATTTGTGCCTACCATACACTTATAGGTTGTTAAGGGTGAGAGGTGCAATAAGCAATATACTAGAAGTTCAGACTTATTATTCCTCAGTTTGGTTCTTGAGTTGCACAGCGTTGCGCAAAAATGTAGTGCACTTTTAAGTTTGGGAAATAAACCTTCAGGTGATTTTGTCTTATGACTCGTTATTGGAAGATTATTTTCAACTTCTTAAAAATATGTAGATACCTATTTTGAAGAAAGCTTTCTAAATGTGTTAGTTACATTACTTGCTTTAGGGGCCTTAGTTCTTGACACTGACTTTATAATAATTAGGTGTTTCAAGGTAAATAAAGTAAAATACATTTTTACCGACATTGATTATGAGACCTATATTTTAAAAATATTCAAAGGTTTCGGTAGAAGAGAAAAAATGAATTATTTCAGAAGCAGGCATGCTTGGTCACTAGGATGCATTTCTTTTCTGCTGGTGTCAGCTGTTGGTTTCAGTTGCAGTGGATGCAAGGTTGGGCCTCCTGGATGGCTGCATTTGTACCTGGAGTGTGTAGTGGATCTATGCTTCTTAAGTGTCTGTATACTGTTCTCTGTAACTTCAGTTCATGGTCTAATGTATCAAAATTTATGTTTACAAAGAATGTCATATTGTGCCTAACAGTATCTACCAGTAACAGAATAAAAGAAACATGAAATTTATGACCATTTGCTTTAAACTTAGTCTTTACAGTGATTTGTTAATATAAATGCATATTGTTGTAATGAGAGAAGACACACAGCACTAAATGTTGTAAGGGTTTTCTATAATTAACTTTTTTCTATTAAGACATTATTTAGGTAGTTACTTGTAACATGGAAAGTTGACCCAAAGTTGTCTGCTGTGTCAGATGCTCCTGCATAACATTTTTGGGACTGGATATATAAAATTTCCTTCACTGGGTCCACATAAGTTGTCTGCCATGTCTTCCAAATTCAACAGGTACCTCTTACTTCCCTTGGAAGAAAGTATTACCATTGGAGGTCACATTTACTGTTGTGTCTGTGTCAGAAGTTGAATATTGTACTTGAGCACATTGCTTTTTAAGGATAGTGGGAAGTTTCCTAATATAATAGCAATGTTTATTTATGTAGATATAGACTTTTCTGGAAAATAAGATATATAAATAACATTTATATATCTATACAGATAGCAGTAGCTTTCAGTAAATAGAAGGCCAACATTTATGTAAAATCTCAAATTTTTATTAAAAAACCACGACTTACACTTAACAATTTTACATCTCAGGAAAAATGTCATTCCAAACAAAGTACTGCATAGAAAAGGAAACAACATTATCATTATTACATCCAAGGTACTTCCTTTTTTCAAAATTCAAGATTCTGAATATTATAAAATTCCTTTGTAATATGTATTTTCTTATGAAGGAGGCATCTTGACACATCATTAGTGAAAACAGGCAGTAATCTCCTAGAACTCATGTGAAATATTGAAATTGTAGTGTCTAAAATGCGTGTTAAATAATTTCTGTAATAAAAATTTAAACTAGAATGTACAATATAAAAAAGATTTATGACTACAGAATTTGAAAAATGTAAATAATAAATTAGCTAACTGTGTAAATACGGTACATGGAGTAGAATAGAAGTGTAAGTTGAAATCTTATGTAACTCTGTAATATGTTTTAAGAAATTAGTTGCATTATTTTTTGGTGCAGTTCCTTCTGGAAAGGCCTGTTAATTTGTTTTTAACTTCAGAACTACAGAATAGAAATATCTGAAGTTCCATTGTATGCTTCTGACAAATACTACCACTGAGGCACTGGTTAAAACTGTAAAACTGATGAAAGATGAGGAAATAAACGCATATTTATGAAATGCTATATAGAGTGGAAAGCTTCTGTTTATTGTTTTCATCAAGCACATTGCATACTACATCAAAACATGGGTTTGGTGTGTTTCTGTTTTACAGTCTTAAAAGACTTTGTTACAAGAACAAATGGATTAACATAACCTGGGTTCTCGGTTACAGTTCTGCAACTCTGTTCCCATGTATCTTGTATGTTTTGCAACTCAGTATTACAAGCAACTTCCAAGGGTGTGTCTCTGCATATACCATGTCCATAAAAGTGCTGAGCATTTCTGCAAAAAGCAGATGAATTTGGTACCGTAGCAGAATTAAACTGAAGAGAAGGTGGAGCAAATCAGGGCAAAGTAAACAGAGGAGGTACAGAATTGTTTACAGCTCTGAGGTGCAGGGGAAGAGGAAACTTCAGCTCATAGGGGGGAAACAGTAACAGGTAGTGAGTGATAGTGTCAGTAAGATCTAGAAACTTAGATGTTTTAAGTAGATTAACAGTCAGGGAGAGATGTTCTGTACAGGAAGCTAGATCCCTTATGTCAAGGAAACTAGTGGGAGACTTTCAATAATCCAGTGTGTCTGGTGAGAAAATATACAAGGAAGGCAAAAATAATAACTTCTCTCTTTAAAAGTCCACACAGCAGTCAGGGGAAAAGAGAGATAGGGATGCAACAGCCAATCTTTGTGTTATGTGCTTGAGTGACGATGAATTGTAATCATGCTGGTTTCTCACCTTGAATGAAATTTGTGTTTCTTCATCTGCAATAATCTTCTGAAGATCCTGAATAAAATCAGCAATGGGAGATCTTTCAAATTGTTTTTTTCAAAAGCAGAAGAGATCAAGAAGGTGGAGTAAAGGCCCAAGGTCTTACAGGGTATGTGCTGGCAGACAAAGCTGAAAGCTATTTGTTGATTTTCTTGCACAAAAGCAGTTCTGGATAACTGATATCCTGGGCAGATAGAGGACTTTCCATGGATATAAATGTGAAGTACAACAGAAAGGACTTTCCAGAAATCTGATCTGCACTTCAGGTCACTTCCTCCTTGAAAACAGAGTGGGGAGGAAGGTAAGTGCTTTGTAGCACATTAAATTCTTTGGAGATGGGAAGAGGAGGTGAGGTGGAAAAGCTCCCAATCCACCGATCACTCAGGCAAGCTGCTGTGCCGTGGGAAAGAACTGCAGCTCAAGTGCTTCTTATCACTGTATGATGGAGAGTGAAGTTCCTGAGCAATTTAATTCCAGATCATTTGCATTTTTATAAGTTAAAGCAAAAATCTTACATCCCATCTAATTCCTTAAGCTTATTGTAGCTGAGGCAGCACTGGAAAAAATAATTAAATTGCAATGGCACCATATCAGAGAGCCTTTTAATACTTCAAAGTCTTCTGTGTGTAGCCCACATTAGAGTGAATACATGTGCCAGAAACAAGATGCTGAGAGAGATGTGATGCTACAGAAAGCCTCTCAGAGACAGGTGCTCTGAAACTTGGGCTTTTTTTGGACACAAGAATTTCCTACAAACTTCCAAAGGAGAATTAATGTACACAGTGAGTAAAGCATAGTTGTTTGAACTTGTCTTCTATGTTGGTGCTTGTGATCAAGCTTCCACATCAGAGAAAATTAAAGTCTGAAATTGAAACCAGTATGTACAGAGATGCTTGAAAACCATGCTCAAGGCAGAAGCCTAAAAGTCTGAACTACAGTACAGATATTCATTTTGTTCCTAATACAGAATCATCCAGAAAGTCAGAAATGGCCAAAATTTCTAGCAGAAGTGTACTGCAATGTCTGTTAGTCTGCCTTTGTTATCAGATTAATCAAGATTTAGTATATATATTTCTCTGATTTTCATGTTAATGTATCCTTCTGAAATGAGATTTCACTTCTGCGAGACCTGGATTTGGGGGTCCAAACCACTTTATGCCAGAAATTTCTTATCCAATCACCACTTACCTGTGCCTACTCAGAGAACCTCCTCATGGAAAGAAGAACATTCTGAATTTTAGAGTGATAGAAGAAAAAAAAAACAAAAATCAAAACCAAACAGGGAGAATAGAGGAGTTTTATTCTCATTAATTTCTGATTTACAGAAAGGAGAAAATGCACCTCTTGGGGTATTTGGACAACTTCATCGTCAAACTCAGGATGCAGTGTTTCACACAGAGCTTTTTTGAAATTCCGCTTATATATTTTCATATATTTCCATCTTCCTCCAGAAAGATCTGAGATTTCCAGTGAACA